TGGTTCAACATTCATAATATACAAAGGACATGGGATGAAGTCTCTCTCAGTCTTCACCCAGAGAAACTGAGTGGTCCTTCAGCCACCCAAGTCCTCTCCCAGGAAGCAGTTTCCCTAGAATTTGGTTACTCCTTCCAGCCACATTCTATGCATATACAAGCAAATATGTTTAGACGTATCAGTTTGGATTTCCTTTGACTCTGATCATTTAAAAACATTTCACTTGTATGGATCAAGGGAAGGGGCTACTTGGACAGAGGAATAGGTTTGAGGAGTGGCTTGATGGGAACAGCTGGTAAGGTGTTGGGAGGAACGGAGGCTGTGACAACATGAAGTTCCTTCTTATCATACAGGCTGGAGACCCAAGTCAAGGATCCCCAGGGAGTCCTTCCCCATCACTATCCCCACAGGCCTCTCAAAGTGACAGCTCCCATCAGCGCACCAGTCAGATGCCGATACTTAGGTCTCCCAGTCACGACCAGGTCACACGGCCAACTCGGTGGTTCATGGAACTCCGTTCAATGACCTGCCCCCCAAACTCATAAATATTGATTCCCCACACCCATCAGTGTCTTCTCCAAGCTCCTATAACCCCCAATGACTTCACTCCTGCACCCCAATATTCCTCATCCTTAATTCCCACAGCCTCCACATTATGAATACCCCACAGACTCTCCTGTCACTGACCTCAAGCCTCCCCAACACTAACCCCACAGCCCTACCAGTGACCACACACAGCCTTCCCGACCAGTGATCGCACAAGCCCTCAGCACTGATCCCCAGGCCTCTAGTTTTGAACCCACAGAGTCACCATGCCATGGCTGACCCCACATGCCCTCCATCGTTGACCTGATTCCAAATTAAATGTGAAATGTGAACCAGAAACTCCCATTTATTAACAACCCCCTCCACCACTCCCAGTAAATCGCGATTCCGGCCAAAACACTACGTTCACTGACTGACACCTACCACCCGGCTCTTGATCACTGAGCCACGTAGCATCACCCACCCGACAGCAGATCCCCACAGCTGGAATCTCGGTCATTACTGTCTTCATATTCTTCATCCAAAAGGAGGATCACCAAGCCAAACTCCGCAGTGGCCAAACCCAAAGTCCCCAGAACGGCCCTTCTCTCGCCTCACAGGCCCCCAGTCCGCAGACCCGCGCAGGTGCCGACCCACCTGCTGCTGGGCTTCTCAAGACTCCGAGCAGCTGCCAAAGTCCCAATTGTCTTCCAAACCGATTCCACTCGCGGTACCCTGGCCCCCAAGTCCCCTCACCGGCTGTCGCTAAGGACGCCTCAGGACTGTTGATCTTCTGGGCGTGGGCGTGGCTCTAGACGTAACGTGACCACGCCCACCTCCCCAACGGAGACCCAAAAGGCCAACAGGGCCTCAGCCTTTCCATGTAGCCAACAGAAGTCGAAATCACCGGTGGGACACGTGGCAGTCTCCCCCTGGTCAACAATATTGTGCTAGGTTTTCAGTGGCCGGAGCATGTCCAAGGCCAACGTGGACCAACTCGTGTAATTTTTAGGCTCTGGGGAAATGGAAAGATAGCGGCGCCTGAGGGCTCTGACGGCGGAGCCCCAGTGGGAGCGGCCATCTTACCGGAAGTTCAGTCACTGCATCTGTGAACTCTCAGGGAGCTAGAATCTTGAGGAGCCTGTGAACAAACAATGGATTGGGTGGAGCCGCAACCTGAGAAGCGGTGCAGCGGTGAGACTGAAGAGAAAACATTTGACGACTTGAAGCCCTGTCGACGTTTGGGAATGGAGTGAAGCGGGGTTGGAACTTAGAAAGGCAGATATGGATGAGCTTTATCAGACGCCTGTTTGGGGGGCGCAGAACAAATTGGTGAGGGCAGACCCACCGGCTCCACAGGACAAGTGATCACTAAAGATGATAAAGATGACCCAGAAGATGGGAGGGAATAGTGATCCCTCCCTCACTAGGACCAATAATGATGGTTTAATTAATTGCCTGTTTGGCAGGCACTGTTTTAACTACATCTCTTTCACCAAACAAACCTTAGATAATATTTTAAAGAACCAATGAGACATAGGCAAGTTTAATAACTTACTTAAAGGCACACAGCTTAGGGTTCAAATCAAGCAGTGTGATTTCAGAACACACTCCTGAACACTATTCAAGGTGAAGGGTGGACTTTATTGGTACCATAAGGATCCTGGGTGTGGTAGGTTTAGGTGTGCATTAGGCTGCTTTCACCTGGGGGTGTCAAGCTTTGAAAAGTGGGTTAAGCATGAGGAAACTCAGCATTCAGGTCAGTCAGGCAGCCGGTTCTGGGGCCCTGACTGTACAGTTCCATGAGTGAACCGACCTGACTTTGCCATGGCTGAATCTGGAGACTGACAGGACCAGAAGTGGTGATCAGGTTGGTGGAGCATTCATGACAGGTCTTTGCTGGAGACTCTGCCCTGAAACCATCCCATTACAAGGTACACTGTGACGCCACCCTCACAGTATACAGTCGTGGGGACAGTAATGCACGATTTAGGACAAAGATGTTCAAAATAATGTATGTACCTGACCCTTGTTAAAAATGCAGACACCTGGACTCCCACCTCAGAGGTTCTCATTTAAGTGTAGGGTAAAACTCAAGAATTTGTGGGTTTTTTTTTTTAGGTTTCTCAGAGAATCTGTGGCCTATGATAGCTATCATAACACTCCTAAAATGTTCTCTGGTTACAAATATTATGGGTGGTGACTCCCCTTTGTACTTTGGTAGTGGCCCAAATTATACCCCGAAAAGCCTTCCCTTTGGGAAGGGGGAGTCTCCCCGATGGCAATCTATTACTAGGCTTTATTTTTCTTCACATGAGTTATTACTTCCTAACATTATAGAATTCATTTACTATCTCTCTTTTTCAGTACATTATAAAGTCCACAGGGGCTGAGATAGAAATTGTTTCTCAGCCACTCATTCTGGAGAACTGTGTTAGAGCAGGCTGAGCAGGCTGTGATACGCTCAGGGTACATCACCACGTCAGTCTCCTCCTGCTAAGGTGATATAAGCTATTTGTGTAGGACTCAGTCATCATTCATCCTCACTGTCAAGATATCAGAAATGAAAAGGGTGTAGATTTTACCCTTGTTGATAAGCAAATGTGTCAACACTATATTAAATTTAATAGAATAAGTCCTTTAAAAATGAAATATTTTAAACTATATTCATTGACTATGTATTTAAGGGATATGCCAAGAAGTAAAATTAAATACATGTTATGTAATTTTAACAATTAGGCAGATGGAAGGGGGTGAGGATTGGGTGGAGGTAGGCAGAGCCAGGGGGGTATTTGGGGGGGATGGGGATACCTGTAATAGTGCCAACAATAAAAAAATAAAGAAAAAAAAGAAAAGAGGAAAAAGACTAAAATTAATCCAAATATCTGTATTCATAATTTCTTTTTTTTAATATTTTATTTATTTATTTTTAGGGAGGGAAGGGAGGGAGAGAGAGAGAGAGAGAAACATCAATGTGCGGTTGCTGGGGGTTATGGCCTGCAACCCAGGAATGTACCCTGGCTGGGAATCGAACCTGGGACACTTTGGTTCCCAGTCCCTGCTCAATCCACTGAGCTACGCCAGCCAGGGATTCATAATTTCTTTTAAAGATTTTACTTATTTATTTTTAGAGAGGGGAAGGGAGGGAGAAAGAGAGGGAGAGAAACATCAATGTGTGAGAGAAATATCAATTGGTTGCTTCTTGCACAACCCCAACTGGGAACCTGGTCCACAACCCTGGCATGCGCCCTGACCAGGAATTGAACTGGCAACCTTTTGGTACACAGGCTGGCACTCAATCCACTGAGCCACACTAGCCAGGGCTATATTTATAATTAAAAAAAAAAACTACAATAGCAATAAACACATCAGGTAACAAACACTTTAATATTTGTTATAATTAGTACAATTCTAAATTATTCTTAATATAAATTTTCTAATATATTGACTGACTATATAGACATACATACAGTCCAAATGCAGATATACCCACACACAGACCATAGGCAGACACATACACACATATGTATACGCTGACCACACAAACATAAATATGGGCACATACAATTGTACGTATGTATGTTTCTATATATCTTTTTTCCTCTTATTCCATTGTGATCTTAGATTCCATTGTAACTTAGAGTAAATATTGAAGGGTCTCCTATCAGCTGAAAATAGGGATTTTTATTGTGGTACAAGGTTCAATATATTAGGTCAAAATAATTCCTTTTTCAAATTGTTGGATTATCAATACTTTGTATCAGCTTTGAAAGTAAATACAGAGAAAACAATACAAAAACAAATAAAATTAAGGAAATACCCACTTGGCTCTTTGCAGAACAATGGAACACAAACTCCAATACACAGAAGGCATTTCTGTCTGCCTTTCAAATGCCCCTCATTGCACTGCCACAGATTTAATGGAAGTTTCTACCATGAATTAATGTCATCACTTTAGAGACAAGAGTGTGCGCCTCCAGACCTTTTTACCAACATGCCAAATCCTTTTCACAAAAGGGAAATATCTGCCTCCTATAGTCCCAATTCAGTGCAATTCACGTCTTTTCAAAATTGTCACACTCCCATGATGTAGCTCAAACGAGCTAAAATGTAACTTTATGTTCCCCTATGCCCCACTCCAGTTAAATCTGGCCATTTCTACTTGAAAATGTGTCAAACATGCTCATCTACCTTCAGAATAACATTATTTGAAATAAACAGACCACTGCCTCTCCAGGGTGTCATGTACAAGATCATAACAGGCTGCCACAAGCTTTCCTCATGGACTGAATTTCCCTCCAGCACTGCTGTCTTCATCTTCAGCAGGGACCAGCCAAGGGTGATCCTCATTCATTTAACTTTTCTTAGGCTTCCATGTCTTGCTCATTTCTGCAGAATTTAGTGTGATACACCAAATTTACATACAATTTAATGGACTAACAATTTAAGGTACATTAAATTAAAATACATGCACTTTACATATTTCTCATAAGATTAGGAGATTTTACATTCCTTATCCAGGCAAAGCTGAACTTGGAGACAGTGGAGTCCTGGGTCATCATCAAGAAGGGAATGAAAGTTGGGAAACACATAACAATTAATGCATTGATACCAGGGAGAAACAAGCTGGTATTATTAAAAACAATCACAGCAATAAGAAAGGTGGAGGAAAGTGTGTTAAAAAAGACAAAGGTGCTCACCAGGAGAAGGATGTTTTTGGTAGCTCTGGACTCGGGGGAGGATTGGGAGGAGATAGGAGTTACATGAATGTGTCGGACCCTCTGCTGGTGTCTGTACAGGATGAAGACCATGGAGCCACTGGCCCAGAGTATGAGTACGAAACATACAACATCAGGAGATGCTAACAATGCTGCAAATAATGAGTCTGTGGTTTCATCAGCATAAAGACTGGAACAGAATCCCCAATTTTTCCTCTTTGTTATGTTTTTGTTGCTCAAATTGCCCGACATAAATAAAGGAATAACTACATTTACCAGCATCTGCAGGACCCACCACAATGAAATTAAAGGGACAATGTACTCAGGAGCTTTTTGTTTAAACCCTGCCAACCTGGAGTTTGTGGGGCTGATGGTGATGGCCTGGAAGACACTCAGGAGGCAGGTGGTGCCAATGGACACACCCCTGCCAATGCCACGTAAATAGGGGAAAAATCTACATCCAAAATCACTGAGATGGTGGTACCACCCAAAATATATCATTGTAACATGAATTCCATTAGAGAACAGAACCAAGGCATTGGCCACAAGCAGGTTGTTGACAATCAAATGTGTGGGCCTCAGCCTGTACCCAGCAAAGTAAATGAAGAGATTATGGGAAAGCAGAGAGAAATTCCCCAGGATTCCAATAGTCTGTAGGGAAAAGGTCATTCCTATGGCCAAATATCTAGTGGCCATGCCTTGTGTTGTCAGGGACTGGTCTTTGTCTTCCGAACTAGAGGATCCTGCATGGGAATATGAGGCATAGGCCACATGTATGATGTCAGCTAAATCCCAATATTTTCCACTTATCAAGAGTTCCCATGAGATACTGAGTTAGTTCTTCTGTCATTTAGAAGCTTCCAAGAGTTAAATGTGTAAGCATTAAAGCACACTTTCAAAAGATTAATTGCTGCTACTGAGACCATACATGAAATAACTTCTTTATCCCTCACAAGTTCAAGTTGCAGACACTACTGCATTTCTCATAAAGGTGAGGACCCCATCAACACACAGAAGATAAGAGTTTCATCTAAATTCACAACCTGGTGAGAATAAGATTGAGGATTTGACCCTGGCTGTGCTGCTAACAAAGTGCATTTAATCCATAATACACTAACATACCAGTTACCTGTGTTCTTCAAAGAAACCAATTGTTTTTCAATTGTGTCATTTTGATTTCTATTGGTGGTATTTTATTTTTAAAGTTTTGTAACATCAAATGTAGACTATTTTTATTATGAAGACTTATCCTATAGGCAAATAGAAACTTTGAATAAAGCTTTAGAGATCTTCATATAACAGATGCACTGGCTGAGAATAAATTGTAGGTCCCTGCCCCTGACAGGTTGGATGTAACAAATGCAAGAATGGTGCAATATTAGGAATGCAACAGAAAGACTCATTTGCTTTATTCCAGGGAAAAAACTCAATTACATGAGTCAAGGAAACTATGGAAGAAGAAACACTGATACCTGACAAACAAATGTATTGTAGAAACAAGATGATTAATAATTTCAGGTAATGTACATACTTATTAATAACTGAGTGAAATAAGATTCTTAGCAGTAAGGCAAGATTTCTGTGAAATATATTAATATACAAGGCACATATGCAAAATGTAATGTTAAGGCAAAACACTTGTGTATTGTGTAAATGACATACATGTGTTGGATTGGTATTATAATATTTAAGAGCAACAGAAATATCAAAATGTATATTTGAACCTGAAAGTACTGTCTGAAAATTTTAAAGTTATATTTTAAATGCTGCTTATTTAAGTAGTGAAAGTGTCTCCACAGGAAAAATATACAAAATTATTAAACATGGTTTTCAAATTATACACCCAAAGTAAGAAGAAACATTTTTATTTCAGTAACTTCCCTGAAACATACTTTCTACACTGGGTCTGATGATTCCTATAGATTGAAAAGCATCCAGATACTACAGGTGCACCTCTAGAAACCTAAAAATTAGGTCTATGATTCCTGTAAATTAGGCTGAATAGAGACTAACTCCAGAACTCCAGCCCTTAAGCACATTAAAAATTAGATTCATGATTGCTGGATTAAACAACCAGGACTGTGAGTGAGGACCACACTATCACATCAGGAGCCATCAAGAACTGGTGCAGTTCTAGGACCCATCTCTCTTTACCAGCTCAGCTCAAGAGTCAGAAATTTTTTCCCTGTCTTTGTGGCTTTGGAGCAGGACCAGTTTTACTCACACAAGATCCCTTTGTCCAGTATATTCACTTACCTGGACTCCTGATACAATGCCTTCCCTTACAGTCTCTACCTCTCAGATTGATAAAGAGAAAACCCACCAACTTCTTCCTGCTCCCTGCACACTGGCTGATGGTGAAGTCAGCTGTCAGTACATGTAGTAGGGAGACAGCCAAACTCCAAGGTATATGTTGTAAATCGATGACCTCCCCTCCCCTCAGTTCTGCAATTATCACTTCATCTGTAGCAGCACTGACACTGATAGGCTTGGGAGCTGAGAATATTTTTTTAAAACTTTGTTCCAATTACCAGTTATGGGAAACAATTACAAGTATTTAGTGAGTATCTACCAAGAGGCTGATGACATTAGGAGACACACTTTGTTTTCCATGATGCCTGTTTTCCATGATTCCAGAGTCTCCAATGACAGAGCAGGAAATGCTGGGGTTCTGCCCATGAGGGACTGGCAGTGTAGCATGTTTGCCTTGCTGACTATCTACTTCCCTGAGAAGTTTTTCTACCCAAAATATAATTCTTTATCAATCTTTGGACTCCTGAGCTGCCCCATATTTCATGTTATATGCAGAGAAATGGACTCACTCAAAGCTGCTCAGTGGGATTTTCAATTTAGTAACAGTAATGAAAAGAACATGATGTCAATAATTGATCATTGAAATCAGTGGAAAAAAATTGCATAAACCCAAAGCAAACTTAGAAAATTGTGACAGTATGAAAGTTTTCCAGGAAAATATACTTTACTAATATTGATCCCAATAGAGATAGGAAGTCTAAACAGAAAAATATCTACAGAAGGAAGAGACAAGTTTATAAAAATGTCCTACACAATTCAAAGCACCAATATGGAGATGGCTTAACATGAAAATTCTATCACTATTTTAAATATTGGATAAGGCCATGCTACCTGCCCAACTGAAAAGAATTGAAGAGGAAGTAAAATCTCCAAATGACATTAAATTGAACACAGACACTGAAATCTTCAAAACTGTACCAAATAGAATACAACAGAAAACCTCATCTCTCCCTATAGATGCAAAGATGTAAAATTAATACTAGCAAGTACATTGCAACAGCCCGTTAAAAAAATTTAAAAAAGGGGACTTCCAGCCAAGACGGAGGCATAGGGAGACACACTACGCATCCTCGCACAATCAAAATAAGGACAACAACAATTTAGAAACAAAATAACAACCAGAACTGACAGAATATTGAACTGTACGGAAGTCCAACAACCAAGGAGTTAAAATAGACACATTCATCCAGACCGGTAGGTAGGGGGAATCGAGCGGCCATGCATAGAGGTGTCTTGGCAAAAAAAGCGGTGGCACCAGGCATGCAAGGCAGCAGCTGACAAACTCTGGGTATGCAGGTGGCGGCTGGCAGACCCTGGGCGCAGGGTGGCAATGGACAGATGCAGCAAGGCAGCGATTGTGAAGCAAGGTGGCTGGTGGACCAGGTGGTCCCAGATTCACGTGCAGATAAACCAGGTGAAAACGGGCAGTGAGACAGACCACACAACCCAGGGCCCCAGAGCGGGCAAATAAAGCCTCAAACATCAACTGAAAACACCTTTGGGGGTTGAGACGCAGGGAGATACTCCCAGACTCACAGGAGAGTTCATTGGAGAGACCCACAGGGTCCTAGAATGTACACAAACCCACCTACACAGGAATCAGCACCAGAAAGGCCCAGTTTGCTTGGGGGAAGTGGTGGAAGGGACTGAAATCCAGCAGAGAGTGGAGCAAGTGCCATTGTTCCCTCTCAGACCCTGCCCCCACATACAGTGTCACAACCCAGAGACTGGGTTGCCCTGACCTGGTGAACACCTAAGGCTCTGCCCCTCATACGTACAGGAGCAACAAGATCAAAAAAAAAAAAAAAAGTAAAAAATGGCCCAAATGAAAAAACATCAAAATTCCAGAAAAAATACAACAAAGCAATGAAGAGATAGCCAACCTATCAAATGCCCAACCTTTCAAACACTGGTGATCAGGATGCTCACAGAATTGGTTGAATTTGGTTGCAAATTAGATGATAAAATGAAAGCTACGCTAAGTGAAATGAAGGAAAATGCACAGGGAACCAATAGTGATGGGAAGGAAACTGGGACTCAAATCAGTAGAGTGGACCAGAAGGAAGAAAGAAACAACCAAACAGAAAAAAATGAAGAAATATGAATTTAAAAAATTAGGAGAAGCTTAGGAACCTCCAGAACATCTTCAAACGTTCCCACATCCGATTTATAGGGGTACCAGAAGGAGAAGAGGAAGAACAACAAGTGGAAAACTTATTTGAACAAATAAAAAGGAGAACTTCCCCAATCTGGCAAAGGAAATAGACTTCCAGAAAGTCCAGGAAGCTCAGAGTCCCAAAGAAGTTGGACCCAAGGAGAAATACACCAAGGCACATCATAATTACATTACCCAAGATTAAAATGAAGGAGAGAGTCCTAGAAGCAGCAAGAGGTAAGGAGACAGTAACCTACAAATGAGTTCCCATCAGACTGTCAGCTGATTTCTCAAAAGAGACCTTGCAGGCAAGAAGGGTCTGGAAAGAAGTATTCCAAGTCATGAAAGGCAAGGACCTATATCCGAGATTACTCTGTCCAGCAAAGCTTCTATTTAGAATGGAAGGGCAGATAAAGTGCTTCTCAGATAAGTTCAAGTTCAAGGAGTTCACCATCAACAAGCCCTTACTATATGAAATGTTAAAGGGACTTATCTAAGAAAAAGAATATCAGAAACTATGAACAGTAAAATGACAGCAAACTCACAATTATTAGCATCCACACCTAAAACAAAAACAAAAACAAACTAAGCAAACAACTAGAATAGGAACAGAACCACAGAAATTGAGATCACATGGAGGGTTAGCAACAGGGGAGTGGGAGGAGGAGAGAGGGGAAAGATACAGAGAATAAGTAGCATAGATGGTAGGTAGAAAATAGACAGGGGGAGGGCAAGAATAGTATGGGTAATGTAGAAGCTAAAGAACTTATGATTTGTGGGCATAAGCTAAAGAGGGGGAATGCAGGTGGGAGAGGGTGTGCAGGGTGGAGGGGAGTGAAGGGGGGAAATGAGACAACTGTAATAGCATAATCAATAAAATATTTTAAGTAAATAAATAAATGATGACCAAGTGCAGTTTATTTTTAGAACTCAAGAGTGACTGTAGTGATGTAGTTCATCATATTTCTAAATATGAAAACCTTATGACAATGTTCATAAAAGTAAAGACCCCTATTTGGCAGAATTCAACATGTACTCATGTTAAATGGAAATCTTTAAAAATTAGAAGCTTATGGATCTTTTGTAACCTAACAAAACAGAGTCTTTATCCTGCTGATAGGGAGGAACTAAAGAAAAGTCCTACTAAGGTCAGAAACAACATCAAGTAGCACAAGATTGCCCATTACTTTTAGTTAACATTGTATTGGAAGTATAGCCAAGGCAATTTCAAATGTCATAAGAATTGGAAACAGGTGTTAAGACTCTCTCTTTGTATACATGACAAAATTATATACCTGGAAACACAGAAGAATTGAGGGAAACAGATACTACCCCAAAATTAATAGACTATGACATTAGCATAGAGATGACAGGTCTTCATATGGACAATCAACATTCACTGGTTATAATGGAACATAGGCTACAACTGCCAACAGATAAAACAAAAATGAAAGATCTACAAATAAATTTCACAAGAATGACCAGGTGGTGGTCCTCATGGGGTACCTAAGGGCATGCATAAACATACGCTTTATAGTCTCTGTTAGGAGACAATACTGGAACTGAAACAAGACAAATGAACCAGAGTCAGACACTGGCAAGAGGAAGTAGCTGGTCATTACAAACATAAGTTAGGGCCCTGGCTGGTGTGGCTCAGTGGATTGAGTGCTGGCTTGAGAATCAAAGGGTTGCTGGTTCAATTCCCAGTCAGGGCACATGCCTGGGCAACCCAGGTCCCCAGTGTGGGCCACAGGAGAGGCAACCACAGACTGATGTTTTCTCTCCTTCTCTTTCTCCTTCCCCCTCTCTCTAAAAATAAATAAAGAAAATATTTTTAAAAAACGTAAGTCAGAGCTATGTAAAGCCCCTGCCAGGAAGAAGGACAAAGGTGTGATGGAAGAACAGAAATATATTGTGTGAGACAGGAGTGTGTGTGCATGGAAAGGAAATGAGTGGAGAGAAAACTGGCAGGTGGTCATGGACCAGATTATAGAAAGCTGCTTTAGTAACACATCTAGATTTCGAACAAAGAGCAGCCAGAGACCATGGGTTGGGGTGGCGGGGATTAAGCAGGAAAGTGACAATGTGAAGTTTGTATTTGTAAAAGGCTTCTCTATGACTGACAAGTGAAGTGAAGCTTGCGAAAGAAAGAGATCCATTAGGAAGCTACTGGAATAGATTAGGGAAAATATTAGGAAGTTTCAACAAGGTACATAATAAAAGGATATCCAAAGTGTTTTCTGTTGACTTGGATAAATGGCTGAGAGAAATGAAAGTGCTGAAGGTGATGAGTTCTATTTTTATTGATTTTAAAGAGAGGAAGGGAGTGAAAGAGAGAGAGGAGAGAGAGAGAGAGAGAGAAATATCAACTTGTTCTACTCACTTTTACATTCATTGGTTCCTGTCTGTGCCCTGACCACAGACTGAACCTGCAACCTTGGTGTATGGTGACAATACTCTAACCCATTGAGCTACCCAGACAGAGTCATGAGTTTTAGATTAAATGACCAGCTATCAAGTTATATGAAAGATGGCATTTGAAAGGAAGAAAAAACACCAACTCACCAAGCCTGCAGCTTTTGGAAAGAATTTAGTTTCCTTCTTCCTAAGTTTTTGGGAATGCTAACAGGTCACTCTTGGGTGTGAAAGACAAAGTCGGGAGAAACAACTTGGACAGGCCTCAAACTGCCCCCCAACACAGAGAAACCTCTGCTCTGTCCCCATGCCCTCTTCCTCAGTAACAGGTTAACCCACACCACAGAAGGAGGTAATCCCCTGCAGATGGCCTCTTACGTGGAAGCAGGAAGATAGGCATTCTCATACTAGCACTCAGAGTTCCCTGTTCTCTGGATCATCTAGAGCTCCTGATGCAGGCATAAGCAACTTGATAGGACAGACTTTCACATTTCTGTGTGGACAATATATGGTCCCAGACTGAGAGGGGTGTCCTGTGTCTTCCTATGTACCACCAATTACATTCAAGTGATTTCCACAAGAAACAAGCTTAGTCCTTAACTGAATCTTCTTTAAGGCAGTCTAAGTGTTATTTCTCAAATGGGAGTTTAAAAAATGACCAGAGATTCTGATGGAATCACTCTATGTGGTTGGCATCAGCATTTTTGAGATGCACCACCCCATATGACCACTTCGAAAATCCTATCGACTTCCAGACGAAAAAGGACAAGAACCATATAATTTCACTCATATGTGGGATACGAAACAGAAAGCAACAAGAACGAACAAAACAAACTCATAACACAGACAACAGTATAGTGGTTACCAGAGGAAGTGGGGTGGGGGAAGCATGAAGAGAGCTAAGGGGTCAACTATATGGTGACAGAAGAAGACTAGACTCTGGGTGGTGAACATACAGTGGAGTATCAGAAATGTACACTTGAAACTCATATATTGTTGTTAGCCAATGTCTACTCAATACATTAAATTTAAAAATAAAATTTTAAAACGCCTATGGACTTCAGTGCTTGTCAAGTTCAAATATGTCTTGTAATATTTTCTCTTCGGATTCCTATTACACTGACGTTTTAAAACTTTAGGATGTAGCTTTAGTAGCAGCTGTCAGACAGGAAAGATTTCTGCTTTTAAGATTTCTGCTCACTTCTTCATTAATATGAATTATACTCTCCATCTGTTTTCATGCCTTTGTATTACATAATGTTTTCTTTTAATTGAGTATACTGTATTTTGCCATGTATAATGCATCCTTTTTTGCCCAATTTTTGAGGGAAAAATAAGGATGCACATTATAATGGGTAGTACTAATTCTGTATCTGTATACATGTTTTTATTTTAATTTTTTAAAATTTATTTTTAGATAGAGGGGACAGGGGAAAGAGGGAGAGAAGCATCAATGTGTGGTTGCTCCTTGTGCGCCACCTGCTGGGGACCTGGTCTACAACTCAGGCAAGTGCCCTAATTGGGAATCAAATGAGCAACCTTTTGGTTTACAGGCTGGCACTCAATCCACTGAGCCACACCAGCCAGAGATGTATAAATGTTTTTGACCTAATTAAAACAGATACTACACTTGATCTTAGCCAAAAATCCAGGAAGCGATGCATAAATATTTTTAATTCTTTTATTTATGCTTATGCATTAAAAGTATAACTCTAGAAAGCAATAACGATATCCATATGCAAAATAATACCCTGAAATTTGATAATCAGTTTTGTTTCTAAATATAAATAAACTATTGAATTAAAAAATTAAAACAAAAGTTTTTTCCTGAAAGTTAACACCATGGCCTGGTGCCTCAGTTGGTTGGAGCACTGTCCGGTTCACCAACAGGTTGTGGGTTAGATCCCTAGTCGCAGCCGGGGAGGGTATGCAAGGTGACCAACTGATGTTTCTCTTTCGCATCAATGTCCCCTCCTCTCCCTTCCCTTCTCCTCCCCTCTCTCTAAAATCAATAAACATATCCTCCGGTGAAGATTTAAAAATTAAAATAAATTTGAACATTCCGCACCAGCAAAGTTTTGCATTTCACCTTCCAGTTTCTATCCCCTTGCAGACAGATCCAGTCCACAATTAATTAAATAACCCGTTCTCATTGTTTAGGCCATAGATACTCCCCAATCACACCACTGTGTGAAAAAAAGGGGGGGTGGTGGTTCTGGGGAAAGTATTTTAATCATAAATTCCTAACTGAGCAGATCACAGTAGGTAGTCACACCCTAGGCATTTAACTTTAGTAAAAGATTTATCTTTGCCGTAAGCAAGCCCTGTCCATTGTTTCCATGCATCTGTTGATAGGTTAACACAACACTGAAATAAGGATAACCACCCTCAAGAGATCACACAATCTTGTTAACTTTCCGGTAATTCAATCCCCACCGAGCTTTCTCCCTTCAAGTAATCCTCCTTACCTTCCCTTCTTAATTCCAAATGAATAATAAAAGTTGCAGACTGACACTCTCGGAAGCATTTTTTTCTCATTCCGTTCAGATCCTGCTTACAAGTATATGCTGTTTGGCTCAATTATATTTTTATAAAAATTATCTCCAAGTTTGGACATTCTTACCTCAACAACTGCTTTATATCTATCCCCCACCAAGATTCTGGAGCCTCGCTGGACTCACAGTGTCTCTCTACCCAACAGCAAAAACAGCGTTCGGCTTAAACGGTTTTCAATTTATTAAAAGGAAAACATATTGGCTTCCAAATAGAAGTGGTCCACACCACCCTAAGCTTTTACCTTAAATCGTTGAAAACAGTTACTTAAAATAGGCAGGAAGGAACGCTATACCACATTACACCAAAGAAATTCAAACGCAGCCCTGAGCGGTGGGGCTTAGCTGGTCCAGAGTCATTCTGCAAAGCCAAGGTCACCGGTTCGATTCCTGGTCTGAACAGATACCTGGGTTGTGGGCTCCGTATCTGGCTGGCCGTACCAGAGGCAACCGATCCATGTTTCTCTCCCTTTCTCCCTCCCTTCTCCTCCCTCTAAAGAAATAAATAAGTAAAATCTGAAGGAAGAAAGGAAAAGAAAGCAACTCAAACGTACTGTGGATTCCAGTACATAACTGGACCCTGGCAGTTCAAACCCACGTTGTTCAAGATTCGGCTCTCATTCCAAAGTAACATCACACAGATTACTAGCTAGCTAATGAAAGTGTCTGAAATGGGGCGGGGGGGGAGCAACCAACATCGCAGGACTCCCATTTTCTTCTTTTGACGAGTCCTTGCTTGACACTGAACTACATTCCCCACGAGTCGGTGGCACGTTGTCCTTAGCCATGGGCCGAAATTCATATTAAGAATCTGAAGGGCGAGCGGGGTTCCCAGCATTCGTAGATTCTGCAACTCTGTAACACGTACCCAGCACCGGCACCCCAAAGACTCTGGAAGTACAAGCCTTTTAGGGGGCGTGGCAAGATGCCTCCCGAAGGCTACGCTTCCCACCGAGACGGCTCGTGCGAAGGGAATTGCATTTCCCAGAAGTCTGTGCGCAAAGCTCTTTAAGGCCTTGTAGAGTTGCACGCTGAGGAATTGGGCCGCCGGCTTCCACAACTGAATTCCCGGATTCTGAACTACATTTCCCAGAGGCCTCTGAGGCACGGCTTCCTTAGAAGCGCTCTGAGTTGCATGCTGGGAGATGCGCTTCCAGTGCGCAGGGGTTTTAGGTTCCGGATTCCCTGGACGCAGTCCAGGGCTAACCTCAACCTTGCGCCCCCTCGTGACGCCCTGTTGGTCATAGAGCTCCAAGCGGTAAGTTGTTAGCATCCCAGGTGGAAACCCGCGTGGGATACCGCGGGGGATGGCAGGGAGCCAGATGCCCCGAGCGAGGAGGCCTGAAGCGGAGCTTCGGCCTGCGGCTGCGGGAGCTGCTGCAGAGAGGGTTGTGTGTGTGTGCGCGCGCGTATGTCAGTGCCAGGAACCGGGCCACGTCCCCAGGATGATGTGAGTGCGAGAGTCTGTGAGGGTGACAGGCCGTGTCCCCATGTCTGTGACGCACTTGCGCGTGATTATGTGTGGGAGGCGAGAAGGACACGGCCGCGCCGTGACTTGGTGACTCTGCCTTGAGCTACCTGCCTGCCTGTGTGCTTTGCGGGGGTGGCAGGGCCCGGGTGCGTCTCCGTGGCTGCAGGATGTGCGTTTGCTTCTGTGTGGGGTGGTCAGGGCCGGGCACCGTGACTCTGACATGAGTGTCGGTGAGTGTGACAGGACCAAGGTGTGTCTCCTAACAGTGCGATTGTTCGGCCGTGACCAGTGCTGGATTGTGCTGGGATAACTGGGTGTATGGCCACGATTGAGTGGGCACCGGTGTGTGCGACAGTGTAACCCGTACCTGTGATGTCTCTCCCGCTCCTCTGCCTTTGCTTCCCAGCCAGGTGGCACCTCCTAGACCCAGGAGCCCCAGAGGAAAGTCAGAGCCTGAACCCTGTAATGAAAATGACCAACAAGAGGGGCGCCTAGTCCTGAGACAGCAATTTTAGAGCTAAAAGTGCTCTTCATACAGGCTTGAATAACAGGATGGAAAGGCCTCAGAAATAAGATTCCTGTTTTCCAGGGGAGAGGTCCCTGACTTGGCAGGTGGGGGAAGGGAACAACTACATATTTCAAAAGCCGATCGCTAGAGCCTAGTCCCGAGGAATCTCTGAAATACTCGGATCCGAGTTCCCCCTTGCTTCTGGTTGGTTTTAGATATGACATTTGGACAGGCGTGGTGTTGGAGATGTGTTCTGAGGTAGTCTGTGCTCCAGAAAGGTCCTGATGTCTCATTCTATCCTTCTCTTTCCCCCAAGCCAGCCATCCTTCAGAAAAAGTTTCCCGGGGAGGGAGAAGAATCCTTACACATCTTAAAATCAAGGTTCAGTTTTTGTTGTTGTTGTTGTTGTTGTTGTTGTTGAGTAAATGATTTGTTTATATGGCTTAAGAATATTTGCTTTTCTTGATCTGAAATGCCCTCCCTAACAGTGACCTATCCCAGTAATTCCTTCCGGAGAGGTGTAATAGCGTGCAGGTATAGCCGCCACCCCCCCCCACCGCCCCCCGCAGTGTACTCCCCAGTGACCCACCCTCTCCAGTGAGCACTCACCTCTTGGCCAATTGTTCACACCCCCCTGTATGTTCCTCTTTTCTAGGAATCTGATGGTATGGAAATACCGCTGGGAGGTTAGTGTTTGCGCTTTATTTTAGAGTGTGATTTGGTAAAGAGGATATTTGTTTTTAGGTGGACTCAAACAGTACACATCTTTGGTTTTGCATGGGCCTGGCATTCAGAGCACAATATAAAAGGAGAAGGTTTGAAGATGAAGTAAAACGCTTCATAGGGCTTTTGAGAGTGAGTTTGAGCAAATGTCTGTCATAAAGGCAGGGATTTCTTTCAGTAGTTAATAAATAGAAATGCATTGTATTAAGCCAGGTCTCGTTTGAGTCTCATGGTTTATTTAGTTGCATCTTGTATGAACTGTGAGAAGCAATTGATATTGGTTATAGGTTCTGGACCTAGAGCCCAGGTTGGTCAACTTTTTCTGGAAAGGGTCACATATTAAATATTTTATATTTTTGGTACAGAGAATTCCCAGGTACCCTGCACCCAATTTCCCCCATTATCACCAATTTACAGTAGTACAGGACATTAGTTTTAATGAATGGACCGATTTTGATACATTATTGTTAACTAGAGTCCATGCTTTAGTCTTCATTTTCCTTAGTTGTTATATAAGCCTCTTCATCTGTTCCAGGGTCCCACCCAGGAGACCATGTTACAATTCGTTGTGATGTCTCCTTGGGCTCCTCTTGGCTGTGACAGTTTCTCAGATTTCCCTTATTTCTTCTGATGGCCTTGACGGTTTTAAGTGGTACTGGTCAGGTATTTTGCAGGACACTCCTCCACTGGAGTCTGATGTTTTTCCCAGTTAGACTGGGTCTGTGGTACAAGATCACAGACAGAGGGTACAAACTGTCAACAGGATTTATGATTGTTGAGGTTGCCCTTGACCATCTGGCCAAGGTAGTATTTGTTCATTTCCTCCCTTGGGAAGTTACCCCTTTTTCCCTCTTTTCATATCATACTCTTTGGAAGTAAGTCACTATGTGCAGCTCACACTTAAGGTGTAGAGAATTGTGCCCCCTTCTCCTCCTCCTTTATTTTGTGATCGTTTGTTTTTGTTTTTACAACCCTTTAAGAATGTAAAACCCATTCTTAGCATCTGGCCCTGCAAAAACAGGCTTTGGGACTGTCATTTGCCAAGGCTGATCGAGAGTATTGGGGCTCCAGTCCTGTCTCTACCTCTTCTTAGCATTTTGGGCTTTATAAAGGAAGAGTTGTAAGGAGGATGAGTTAACATAGGTGAAGCCCCTTAGAACAGCCCCCAGAGCCTAAGTGTTCAATGAATCCTGGTTTGCTCTGTTTCATCACTGGAACTTAACATATGAAGTTCACTGTGATGAGTACTTGCAAGTTCTTAAAATGAACCAGAGTATAGAATGGGAATCCTTAGCCTAAGGTTTTTCCTTTAATTTCATTTCCCATTTTCCAAGGGAAATTGTAGTCAGACTTATTGCATATGTTTGTAAGCATGGCTGTCATTCTGCGAAAAAGTCCATAACTTCATGGCATTCACATGTGTGAACATGTCCCCCAAAATTAGACCCTTGGTGTAACCCATGACCCTTTGGCTCACAGTCTGATGCTCAATCCACTGAACTACACCAGTCAGGGCTAATTTTTTTATCTATTGATTTGAGAAAGCGAGGAAGGGAAGGGGGGGGTGGAGAGAGAGGGAGAGAGAGAGAGAGAGAGAGAGAACATCAATTTGTTGTTCCACTTAGTTATGCATTTATTGGTTTATTCGTATATGTGCCCTGACTGGGGATCAAACCTGCAACCTTGGTGTATCAGGATGATGCTCTAACCAATTGAGCTACCTGGCCAGGGCTCAATATGGGCATTTTAGTTGATTATTCAGTGAAGAAGGAAGGGAGTGGGACCACTTTTATTGAACACCTTCCCTGTACCAAACATTCTTCTGTCTGCTTTGCACACTTTCCCTAATTAGTCTGCAGAGTCGCTTAGCTACACTGTTGTGCTCAGGGTCTGATGGTATTGCTGAGACACAATGAAAGGATGTTCAAGATCAGGGAGGTGATTGGTTTGTTAGCTGTTTTTTTCAACACTAGGCTTTTGTCTTACTCTCCTTTTACTACTGTAACATATTGCCACAGATTTAGTGGCTTAAAACAGCACAGATTTGTTATCTTACAGTCCTAGATGTCCGAAGTCCTAAATGGGTCTCACCTGGCTAAAATCACGGTGTTGGTAAGGCTGCTTTCCTTTTCAGAGGCTCTAGGGGGCACTCTTTCCCTGCCTTTCCCAGTTTTTCAAGGCTGCCCAAATTCTTGGAATTACAGCCCATTCCTCTGTCTTCAAAGCTGGCAAGGACAAGTCAAGGCTTCTCAGGTCACATCACTGTGAACCTGCTGCCTCTGTCGTCAGATCTTTTTCTTCTCTGATACCCCTCATCTACTTTGATGGACTCTCGCAATTACATTGGACCTACCTGGATAATTCTGGGTACTCTTCCTATCTTGAGGTCAGCTGATTAGTGACTTTAAATCTGGCTGTGACCTAACACCCCTTTGCTATGTAAAGTAACATATTCACAGTTTCCAGAAATAGGACGTGGACATCTTGGGAGACAGTTATTCTGTCTACCACAGGCCTGTTCATTCAACTTTCCCTTAATGACTGCAATATACTGTATCCCCCCACCTCCTGTAACTATGAGGGTTTTTTCTTTGTTAACTTTCTTTTTAATTTGGGACTGTCTTAAATTATATTTTTTTATAATGGGATTACTGCAGGCCTGCTGCAAAAAAAAAAAAATTCAATTTCCTAAGGAGCTTGTAAAGAAGAAACTCGAAATTACTCGTGACCATATTGTCCAGAGAAAATGACTTTTGATATTATGGTATGTATGTTTCCAGTCCTCCACTTCTACTCTAAGCATATGGTTTTGTTTCAAGAGCACTGAATTCTGCTAATTGATCATGTAAATGAGCCAAAGACTCTCCAGATCTTAGTCTGTACAAGAAATCCACTTCAGCCATGGGTCACATTATACCTGTGTGACCGTGTGGGAAGGGGAGAGGCGTGCCAGCAATCCCCTTCTTGCTTTAAAAACATCTCCCAAGCCCTCCCTGGCTAGTGTGGCTCAGTGGATTGAGTGTCAGCCGGTTCAATTCCCAGTCAGGGCACATGCCTGGGTTTCGAGCCAGATCCCCAGTTGGGGATGTGTGAGAGGCAACTACACATTGATGTTTCTCTCTCTCTCTTTATCCTTTCCTTCCCTTCCCTTCTCTCTAAAATATATATAAATAATGTATTTAAAATGTTCACATAAATCTTCTATATCACACAGAAGAGAAGATTTAGGCACTCAGTGATGTTCTCATTTTGGCCTCTAATGGTCTCAATTTGGCATTGTTTCAGTTTAGATTCCTTCAACTGAATTTTTGATGCAAGATCATAGTTCTCCCTCTTTACTGATGGGGAGGGAACATTTCCTTTTTGTGTATCTCAGAAATTTTTTCTTTTTTGCTAAGATTGTTAATTTAAAAGAATTTCATTCTTAAGAGTTTCTGAAAGTAGTTAGCATCAATTATAACATTTTTCAGACACAGCAGGCTTGAATTTCATAAAAATGGGTTGAGGGGTATTGACATTATTGATCTTCAATAATAATAGCTCACTTGTATTGCACGATTGTTACATATTATTTTGTTTTATATGATTCCGTTCTTAACAGTTGAGATAGTCACACCCGGTAGCTACAGTTTTTACCCCAATCTTACCTGTAGGGGAACAGACACTCCAAGGTCACTAACTGTCAGGACTAAGATTCACATCCTGAAAGTCAGACCACAGGACCTGTGTTCTTAATTTCACCAAGACCTCTCCTCCCACATTACACATACCTTTTCAAACCTGCGTTCTTTGCTTGGTGATTCATCTTAGATTCCTCTCTCAATTAATGAAAGTCAGTATCATTATTAATAAATATCTGCTGTTATAGCAGACTGTATTTATTTACTCTATCCTTTACTGTGAGATATTTATATTTGTACCTTTTCATTTTTTTAGAATAATTCTCTGGAAAATCTGAATAAAATTGATGGAGTGTATCAATCTCAATGTCCTGGTTGTTATATTATACCATAGTTTTGCTACGGAGTACCATTAGGGTAAACTGGGTAAAGGGTACACAGGGTCCCTTTGTATTATTTCTTATAATTGCACATGCATCTACAGTTACCTCAATTTTTAAAAAACTGCTCCATAAAAAAATTCTTTAAAACATTCATGTGCATATACGTGTATACTGTTATAGCTTCTTCCTTGGGATACATCCCCAAAAGTGGAATTTTGAGTCAAAAATCATACTTCTGTTAAGTGCCTGCAGTATGCCTGACCCTATGGTATTAGTATTTGGAAGTATTAGTATGACTGGAAGGACACAGTAGCTTGTCCATTGCTTGTCATCCAGCAAGGAAGGGAAACCGTGAATGGAAGAAGCACAAGGCAGCTGGTGGTCAAGGCCTAGAACTCAACATCAAAGGGTGTGTCGGGGTCCCCAAGGCCACCACCTGGTTCAGGGATTCTCTAGATGGACCCGGAATTCAACACGCCGCCATACTCATGGCTAAGATTTATTACAGTGAAAGAGTCCAAAGGATACACGGCGAAGACCCCAGAGGGAAAAGTGCCCAGGAAACGTTGGGAGGAAACCAAACGCAAGCTCACGGGGACATGGTTAATGCCTCCGCCATCGAGTTCCGACAGTGCACACAGATGCAACATTCTGTATGAGAAGCTCGCAGTCTGAGAGCCCAGGGTTTATATGGCGTCAGTCACACAGGCACCCTCCACCTAGCATCTACCAAAGTCCCAGAAGCAAGAGCCCCTGTTATCAGTTAGGGAGTGCTGGGGTTGCTGGAAGTCCAGCCAAGGAGCAAGCTTGGAAGCAGGCCGAAGGAGAGCAGTTTCAGACCTGCTGTGTTACCTCTCTTCTGTGTGAGGGGTATATAACTTTCCAGGATGGTTCCTTCCATTCTTCTGTTTCTCTTTTTATGTGTCTCTTTCTGTTCATGTCTTATGGTTGGTTTGTCAGTATCTGTGTGTTTGTCTCTGTGTGTGTGTGTATTCATATGTCATATATAAACACATCATATTGTGTGTGTATATATTTATATATAGGGGATATGTTATATATAGTGTATCATCTGGTATTTGTATCCTAATTTTCCTACTGACAATATATCTGAAATATTTTTCATGTCTGAGTATTTCTTCCAACTTAGCAGTAATTACTAACATCAGTGTTTTGCATTGATAGTCTGCATGTGCTTACACAGTCAGCTGGTCTGGGCGCAGAGCGCTGACACTGCCCAGGCATTTCCTTCTCCTCCCTGTCCACCTGCTGTGTCCTGACCCTCATCACCCTATCTAGAGGCCAGAAAAGATTCAAGTTTGAATGATGCAGTCCCTCATGACCCTGGACAATGTGACCAGGGGACACTAAGCACCCTAAACACCCACTCAGGTCCAGCTCACAACCCACACTGACCAGAGCTAGTCCTACTGGGAGGTTTGAGGGTGCAGCCTCTACCCAACACCACCCTAAGTTTTAACACCAAGTGCAGGTTTGGGAGTTTCCAGAAACCAGCCTCAGGATCAGTAGTTCAGGACTAGAAGGACTCCCAAAACTCACTGGAAGCTGTTCTACTCAGGGGTACGGTTTATTACCCAGAAAGGATACAGAGTAGCATCAGCCAAGGAAATAGGTGTGTAAGGTGAGGCCTGGGGGTGTTCACAACATGAGCTTCCAGTACCCTCTCCCCAGGGAGTCAGGACTGGTTACTCTGATGGCATCCGCATATGACAACACACACAGAGCATTGCCAACAGACCACCAATATCCAGGATTCGCTGGGGCTTCACCATGTAGGCACAGTTGACTGATTGATTATATGGATGTATAGACATGATTGATTGATTCATTGTTCAGATGTTAACTTCAGTGTCTACTTCCAGGTTAACTGATACCCCATGACCCAAACCCCTATCCCAAATCACCTGGTTGGTCCTTCTAATATGACAAGATGCAACCTTCAGACTCTTGGGTATGGCCAGCCTTCCCCCAAGACTGTTGGGAATGGCCAACTGCCCCTCGCCCAAGGGTGTTGGGAATGGCCAGCACCCCCAGCCAAGACTGTTAGGAATGGCCAGCCCCATCCTAAGATACAGTATGGCCAGTTGGTACCCAAAACAAAGACTTTCCTATCAAGTATGAGGTAAATTACCTCTCAGAAGTTGAGGACAAAGGCTGAACCTGTCTTTGGTCAAGGCCAAATTCTTTTTTTTTTTTTTAAGATTTTATTTATTTATTTTTAGAGAGGGAAGGGAGGGAGAAAGAGAGAGAGAGAGAGAAACATCAATGTGCGGTTGCTGGGGGTCATGGCCTGCAACCCTGGCATGTACCCTGACTGGGGATCGAACCTGTGACACTTTGGTTCGCAGCCCGAGCTCAATCCACTGAGCTACATCAGCCAGGGCTGGTCAAGGCCAAATTCTTAACATTTACCCCCTAACAGGGAGCTGGCCAGAAATCCTCCTGCTGAAATGCCTGGGTCTGACTTCAAGGCAATAAATAAATAAATAAAAGCTCCAGTCTTCTATTCTGTGTCACTGGGTTTCCTGGAGTTTGAGAGTGCTTGTTATTGTTGTTGTTTTTCCCAGAATCCTTTTAATCTGTTCCAAATGTGTAGTGTTTATGTGTGGGTGTTGGAAAAGGAGGTGGGGGTTCTCTGGAAGCAAAGGTGGAGGAACACAAAGGTTGTAGTCAGTCATTTTGGGAACTAAGGTGCACTTACTTCAGTGCCTCTCTCTCCTCATCCAGCTCTGGCTTCTCTGGATTCCCTGGATTCTGTGTCTTCGGTAAAAGAAACCCCTAGGCAACTGATCTGTTCTTGACTCTAAAACTATGGCCCACGTAAGTATGTATTTCTCTTTCCTTCTTGAAATGTGATGTTCAAGTCCCGTGGCTGTTTTTACGAATTATCTGGAAGCCTCCTGCCCAAGCAAGTCCCATCCCAATACCTACTTCCCAGTCCGTCCTGTTCCAGTGAACAGTGATGCCACGTCACCCCATGCCCACCTGTGTGGCTAATGTTCACACAATGTGGAGCTGATTACTCAGTATCCCCCTTGTCCTCAGTTTTTTGTCAAGAGGAATATTGGAGCAATGGAGGAAGAAAGTCTTTTGAAAGAAAGATTTGAATCAGATCTATGGTTTGATTAGTTAGAGATGCTGGACCCATTTGCCCACAGGAGAAAATGAAAAGTCTGCACTTATCTTTTTTCCAGGCAGATAAGAGGGAATATTCCTCTTCACTGGTCTGGGGCTTAGTGTGTGGTGGCCGCCCAAGCTTTATGAGGCTTTAGAATCAGATGGAGGTGTGATTGCGCCATTGGACTCAGCAATCATGGTCTTGCCAGGGAACCTGAGAGGTCATTGGTGTTGTTGAACCAAACTGCCAGACCTGTGTATGCGGAGGCATCATCTGATACCAGTGTCTTTAAGTCAGGAACCAAGGAGGGACAGGGGCAAGGGTGGTAACAGGTAAGATCATCCAGGACAGAGAAAGAGATGATCATACCATCCCAGAACTGGGGAAAACCTTAGTCATCTGTCCAACCTAAGTGTATAACTATAATAATTAGAGTCTAATCCATCCTTATGATGGAGGAAAAAAATGTCTTTGTCATCACCGAGGAAGACTGCTTAAAAGATAACCTGGCCAATAATGCACTTGAGGCTTGAAAACATTCAAACATGCAAATCCCATTTTCGAAGATAAAAGATCTTATATAACATTTCTCAAACAAAACCATAGGAATTATCTTCTTTCCCCTTAAAGGGCAAAGGCTGCCACAGGAATCCTCACCAGCTGAGAATGTGTGGGAATGTGAGGCAGGCATGTGGCAGGCTCTGTGCTTGTGAGTGGGGGGGAATCTGGGATTGTTTCATCCATGCTCTGGCAGGGTGGGTGCGTGGGAATCTCTTCAGTGACATGAGGGATTCTGCTTCTCTCAGTCCTTCCGTACTGTCCCCTATCCATATCACAAGCTTTCAGTCTACGCACTGTATCCACTCTACCCAGCGCATAGGCCTTCCTCTCCTCTTCTCTCCTTCCTCTTGAAACCGTGCCCTTTCATTTCATCATTATGTTTTCAGGGTCTGGTGATGTTCTCAGATGTGGCCATAGACTTCTCTCAGGAGGAGTGGGCCTGCCTGGACTCGACGCAGAGGGACCTGTACTGGGATGTGATGTTGGAGAACTACAGTAACTTGGTCTCCCTGGGTAAGTTACCTGCGTCATATAACTTAGACTCTGCCCCCTGGAATGTCAGCTTCCTCCAGTGTGAACTTTAGGGCTGTCTTTCAAGAAACAAGTTGAATCTTCTTCCTGTTCCTGGGAATGCTTTAAGCTTTGTCAAGTTGAAAGTAGGTATACACACCTTTCCCTTGTCATCCATCAGTGATCTTCCCACCTTTGTCGGGCCCTTCCTGCAGTTCCCACTCTCTTCATGAACAAAGGATGAATTAGAATTCTGGAATATTTATTTCACAACCATCTCCAAGGAAACCAAGCTTCATACTGTGATACTATGTTAATCCCAAATTACCTGTGGTTCTTTGGGGTGACTTGATTTTCTCTAGTAAAGCAGCCTCTATGTCTGATATGGAAGTGGACTGAACAAACAATTCATGTAAAACCAAAGTGGGTATATTCCATTTCTGACATGTTGTACCTGAAGTGAGGTTGAAGGTTATAAATCTGTGAACTCTTGAGTTAAACGTTGGGTGATAATATCTTGTTGTCTCAGGAAATTTCTTGGCCCTGGCTAGTGTAGCTCAGTGAATTGAGCGTGGCTGTGAACCAAAGGGTCACTAGTTCGATTCCCATTCAGGGCACATGCCTAGGTTGCAGGCCAGGTCCCCAGCGGGGGCCACATGAGAGGCAACCACACATTGATGTTTTCTTTCCCTTTCTTTATCCCTTCCTACCCCTTTCTCTAAAAATAAATAAATAAAATCTTTTTTTAAAAAAGAAAATTTCTTATTTTTCTGTTAGTAAAATAACAGCCATGATATTTATGGCTAATATTGTGCTTTCTCCATACCAGGCATTGTTCTAGGCATTGTGTGTATGTGTGTGTGCAAACACATTTCATTTCATCCTCACAAGGTTATGAGATAGGCAGTATGATTGAGTCTGATTTGTAGGTGGTTATGCTGGGGCACCCAGTGACATGGTCAGACGGAGGCAGAAGCAAGATGAATGTAAGAATTCTGGCCCTGCCCTGGCTGGTATGGCTCAGTGGACTGAGCACTAGCCTACAAACCTAAAGGTCTCCAGTTCGATTCCCAGTTAGGGCACATGCCTGAGTTGCTGGCCAGGCCCTGGGTGGAGGCTTGGGAGAGGCAGCCAATCAGTGATTCTCTCCCTCTTTTTCTCCCTCTCCCCACCACTCTAAAAATAAATAAATAAATAAATAAATAAATAAATAAAATCTTTAAAAGAAAAAGGATTCCAGTCCAGAATCCATACCATCAACTACTGTGTTCTACTTGCCTCCAGGTAGCATGCCATCAGCACTTTAAAATAAGACCTTTTCCTTTTCTGTCTGGTCCACCTGTTCTCTATCCCTTTCTCTTTTTTGCAATCTCTGATTGTGACTTTTAGGTGGTTAAAAAATTCCATTTTCCTGGGTTTTCCAGGTATGTCATCACAACATCTACAAATTGTGCTTTTTAATCTCCATTTTTGAGATTTCTTCCTCTAATGTCTTTTGCTTAATTGTGTCAGCTGATACAAAACAGTAGGGCCAACAGTCAGTCTTCAGTGTTTCTTCATTAAACATTGTGGTGTCAGACATGGACTTCACATTTTAACAAAGGTCTAGCTGATTCATCTTCATGAAGTTTTATTTCTACGAGAGAAGTTTTTGGTTTGTAGCTAGGTTTCTTTGTTTGTTTTGTTTTCCATAAAAGGAGAGAAAAATATGTTTTTTCCCCCCAGATTTGGAGTCACCATATGAGACGAAGAATTTACCTACAGAAAAGGGCACTTATGAAATACATTTTTCCAGATGGAACCCAGAGGGGAAAAGTAAATCCCTTGGCCTTGACTGGATGTGTGAAGGTGAGTTGGAAGAAGCACAGGGCCCTCGAGAGGGATATTTCAACCAGATGAAAACCAGCTGTGCAAAAAAGCCCTCTGAGAGAGAAAATCCCTCTACAAGACCACACCAGAGACTTCATAATAGGGACAATTCCTATGAATGTAAGGAATGTGGGAAGGCCTTTAGTCGTGGCTATCAACTTACTCAACATCAGAAAATTCACACTGGTGAGAAACCCTATGAGTGTAAAGAGTGTAAAAAGGCCTTCCGTTGGGGTAACCAGCTGACTCAGCATCAGAAAATTCACACTGGTGAGAAACCCTATGAGTGTAAGGACTGCGGGAAGGCCTTTCGATGGGGCTCGAGCCTCGTTATTCACAAACGAATTCATACGGGCGAGAAGCCCTATGAGTGTAGAGACTGTGGGAAGGCGTTCAGACGTGGTGATGAACTCACTCAACATCAGAGGTTTCACACTGGCGAGAAAGACTACGAGTGCAAAGACTGTGGGAAGACCTTCAGCCGCGTGTATAAACTAATTCAGCACAAGAGAATCCACAGTGGTGATAAGCCCTATGAATGTCAAGACTGTGGGAAGGCCTTCATCTGTGGTTCGAGCCTCGCTCAACATAAAAGAATTCATACCGGTGAAAAGCCTTACGAATGTCAAGAATGTGGGAAGGCCTTCACACGAGTCAATTACCTTACTCAGCATCAGAAAATTCACACTGGTGAGAAGCCTCATGAATGTAAGGAGTGTGGGAAGGCCTTTCGTTGGGGTTCAAGCCTTGTTAAGCATGAGAGAATCCATACGGGTGAGAAGCCATATAAATGCACAGAATGTGGGAAAGGCTTTAACTGTGGCTACCACCTTACTCAACACGAGAGAATTCACACTGGTGAAACACCTTATAAGTGTAAGGAGTGTGGAAAGGCCTTTATTTATGGGTCAAGCCTTGTTAAACATGAGAGAATTCATACGGGGGAGAAACCCTATGAGTGTAAAGAGTGTGGCAAGGCCTTTAGTCACGGCCATCAACTTACACAGCATCAGAAAGTCCACACCAGTGAGAAACCCCATGAGTATAAGGAAGTTGGAAAGGTCTGTAACCCTGTAAATCATTTCAGAGCACAGCAGAGAATTCACACTGTTAGCAAACCTTTTGAATACAAAGAATGTCTGTCCGTAGGCCTCAAAGGAACATTCATTCCTTCCACAACATGAGGGAAATTTATGATACGATTTAACATCAGAATGTATTCCCTGGTCTCTCTTCTGCTTATAGAATATTAGGACAGCCATGATAGAAGCAGATTTTGAGACTGGAGAAATCACTCTTCCTTCATTGTCAGAGCATACTCAGCATAGGCATTTTTTTTTTTTTTTACTGGATGGGTTTAATGGATGCATAGAAGCTTTCCAGTACCTTTCAGTCTCATTTCAGATTCATTCTGGGGGACAACATACACACACAAGTCTTTCATCATGGTACATACCCTGCCTACCAGTTGTCATGACAATCCTGCCTCTTGACTCCCTGTGAGACACTGGGAAAATCAGCTGTTACCCCTCCCTGTGCACCGTTTTTGAAATGGGGGTCACCACACCTGCCTAATACTGCTGTTGTGGCTGAACGAGTTTGGTATGTGTAATTCCTTGAAAGTGTATCTAGAATATTGTGTAAGCTCAATAAATATTAGCTGTTGTCATTCTTACTGTCATTACTGTCGGTGATGCTATTAGTGAATTATTACAATACCCCCTGTAGGGATGGCAAGTTTAGAAAAGACTATCAGACTTCTAGAAGAAAATATAGTTTTCACAGCCCTGGGGCCAATGGTGTTTCTTAGGATACAAAAGACACTAAATGTAAAACAAGATTAATGAATTGAGCTTTATCAAAAGTACAAAGTTATGTTCATCACTCACATCATGAATGAAGTGAAAAGGCAAACAGCAGACTGGGAGAAGATATTTGTGTATACCCAACAAAAGACTCACTTAGACAATAGAAAGACTTGGCCAAGTAGCTCATTTGGTTAGAATACCATCCCAGTGTGCAAAGTTTGTAGGTTTGTTCCCCAGTCAGAGCACATATAAGAATCAACCAGTGAATGTATAAATAAGTGGAACCACAAATGTTTCTTTCTCTCTTCCTCTCTCTAAGATCAAAAATATATATTTATTTAAAGAATGCTTCAAGTCAATAATAAATCAGAGAGTGGGGGGAGGACTTGAATATGGAATAAGAGATCACCAAGTGGCCAGTAAGTGAAACTGTGTGCTCAACATCATTTCCCGTCAAGGAAATGCCAAGTAAACCACCATGTAAGGTCACTAGACGCTGACAGAATGGCTAAAATTAAAATTGTATGTGAGCCAGTTTGTTGGATATTCAGGCATGACCTGTTCAGGAAGAAGCTGAGCCAGCACGCAGTACCCCTACCTCATCCTGGAGGTCTCACAACAGGGACAGGGAGGTGATGCTGGAGGGAAGGGACCAGACTTCTCCTGAGGAAGGAGCCAGACCCTGGGCTGGAATCCTGGGAGTTGAGGGAGCAGTTCCACTTGGGAGGGGCCTGAGCCATCTTAGACAGTCAGCTCTAGAGTGAAGGTTTACACTGGGGAAAGGACCAGAGCCATGGTGGGAATCTGAGAATACCAGTGGGGAAGGCTGGAGCTCATGGGGGTGAGTTTGAAAAGCTGGGGGAGGAGCAGATGGGCAGAGGGAATGAGGAGAGACAGATCCTCGGAGACAAGGAAAGGAGCATCTGGGAGGCTCCTTGGAGAGCCGGAGGAGGGCTTGAATGCCTGTGAGTGGAGCCTGGGGAATCCAGGGTGCGTGCTGAAGCTGCTAGGGGGAGAACCACACGCGGGGATGGCGGTGTGGTCACAGCCCAGAGGAGTGTGGCTAACCTACACCTGAAACAATGTTGAGTTTCAACTGTAATTGAAAAAAGTTAAATGACCCCTGCCTGGTATGGGTCAGTGGATTGAGTGGGGGCTGCCAACCAAAGGGTTGCCAGTTTGATTCCCAGTCAGGGCACATGCCTAGGTTGTGTGCCAGATCCCCATTTGGGAGTGTGTGAAAGGCAACTGATTGATATTTCTCTCACACATTGATGTTTCTCTCCTTCTCTCCCTCCCTTCCCCTCTCTCTAAAAATAAATAAAAATAAAATCTTTAAAGAAAGAAAAAGAAAACTCTAATCAATAAACTAACTCCACACCTTGAGAAACTAGAAAAAGAAGAGCAAACTAAATCAAACGAAAAGTGAGCAGAAAGAAGAAAATAACAAGGATTAGAGTGGTGAAAAATTAATCAATGGAACCAAAAGTTGTTTCTTTGAAAAGATGAGCAAAACCGACAAACCTTTAGCCAGACTATGAAAAAAGTAATTATATAAAGAAAAACCAAGATCACTAGGGAACATTCCAATCTCTTCTAGGCATGTGTGGCCAAAGTAAAACATCAAAAAACAAGGCAAGTTTGAACACATCAACAAAGCAAATAAAGAGAATTAATGTGAGCACATTCAGTTACACGAGACCAGGGGTTGCCAAGCTTTTTTTGTTAAGGGCCAAATACTACATACTTCAGTTTTGCAAGTCTCATATGTTCTGTGTCACATATTCCATTTGTTATTTTTACAACTTTTTAAAAATGAAAACCACCCTGGCCAGGTACTCAGTTGGTTAGAGCATCATCCCCATATGGCAAAGTTGCAGATCCCCAGTCAGGGCACATGCAAGAATCAACCAATGAATGCATCAATAAGTGAGACAACAAAGTGATGTTTTTCTCTCAGATCAATTCACAAAAAAGTAACAATTTTTTTTCCTGGAGAATTGCCCACGTTCTAAGTTTGACTGTGTTTTCAGTTAAGTGACTATCCCTTACTTCTATGAGCTGATAGTTGATCTAGAGCTAATTACATTGTAATTCAACTTTTCGAGAATGTTTTATGGGCTATGGCTGGTGTGACTCAGTGGATTGAGTGCTGGCCTGTGAACCAAAGGGTCGGAGGTTCAATTCCCAGTCAAGGCTCTTGCCTGGGTTGTGGGCCAGATCCCCATTTGGGGAGGTGTGAAGGCAACCACACATTGATGTTTCTCTCCTTCTCTTTCTCCTTCCCTTCTCCTCTCTCTAAAAATAAATGAAATCTTTATTTAAAAAAATAGAATGTTCCATGGGCAGTGTTCTGTATTGTCTGTTATCTCCAGGTGGGGCTGTTCCTACATATGGGTGCTAAGAATGATGAATAGGATGATGTCAACCTTTTCATCAAACTTCTACATAAAGTTTCGGTCTCCATTAATGAATGCTTCCGAACCCCATAATTTCACTAGGGCTTCTAATTCCATTAATTCTCATCCACTTTTTGTGATTCCTCTAATAACTCTGCTACTCGCTTTCTTGACCTTCATGCTGCCAAATGGTCATAATCTTACCCCTACTGCAGGGGCTGGTTCCCACAGACAAGCCTATACTTACCAACCCCTTCAACATCCATAAATCTCAACTCCCAGTTTCTGTTCTGCAGTAGCATCACCCTATCTTGTATTTCCAGTTTAGCTTCCTTTTAACTCCACCCAGCTGTAGCCATTTCACAAGCACACCAGTACTTCTCATGTCCTGCCCGCTGCCTACTAGCAATACTGCTATTTTTTTCAGTGAAGAGATCAATTGTGTTGTGTAACTGTAATAGTTTGGGGCAGAAACATAAGGAAAAATGGTCACTGACATGATGTTATCTATTGATCATATCTCACTCAAGCTGGCGGAGAATAAAAATGATCATTTCTATCAGTATGAAATGATCTACTTTGTTGCTATTCTGTGTTTTTTTTTAGTCTATTTTGTCTGATATTAACACAGCTGTGCCAGCCTTCTTATGTTACTGTTGGTGTGGCCCATCCTTTCCCTTCTTTTTAGTTGCAACCTATTTAAAGCACATCTCTTGACACAAAGAATGTTGGAATAACATGGATAGACCTAGAGGGTATTATGCTCAGTGAAATTAAGGCAGACAGAGAAAGACATAGACCATATGGTTTCACATATAAGTGTGATTTAATGAACAAAATAAAACAAAGAAAACAGAAACAGACCCATAGATACAGAGAACAAACCAGATAGGAGGACAGTTGCAGGGCTGGGTGAAAAGGATGAAGGGATTAAGAAGTACACATTGGTAGTTACAGAATAGTCACAGGCAGGAACCTAATCAACAAAACAAACAAGCAAAATATAACCAAAGACATTGAAATTGAGTGCAGAGTGACAGTGACCAGAGGGGAGAGGGGAGGGAATTTTAGGGGGAAAGGGTGAAGGGTTTACAGGAGCAATTATAGAGGACACATGGACAATAATGGGGGGGGGCTGGGAGGTTGGGCTGGGGGGGAGGCAGAAAACTGTACTTGAACAATTAAAAGAAATGTGAAAAAGCTCCTGACAAGTTCATCTTCACCAACCACATCTTAAGTTTATAGCTTTACCAACAGTTTGTTGTGGGTTTTGGGGGCAGAGTGGGGTTAGGAGGTCAAAATCCAATAAAAAATAACTTATCAGCATAAGTAAATACCTAAAGACAGGAAAAAAAAGAATAGTCACAGGGATGTAAAGTACAGCAGAGAGAATATAGCCAATAATGTTGTAATAGTTATATATGAATGGTGTCAGGGGGATCACTTCATAAGTTATATAAAAATCTAACCACTATACTGTACACCTGAAACTAATGTAATATTGAATGTTAAGTGTAATTGTGAAAAACAGAATAAAAACTTTATTAAATAAATTGCAACTCCTGACACAATGCATAGTTGAAACATGTGTTTTCTTCCCTCGTGGCAATCTTTATTTTCCCTGGAAATAGGCACAAGAGGGCATTTGCCTTTTTTAAAAAATATTTTTAAAAGAGTATTTATTTATAGGGGAAAGAGGGAGAGAAATGTGTGACTGCCTCTCGAGCACCCCCTAGTGGGGACCTGGCCCGCAACTCAGGCATGTGACTGGGAATCCAACTGGTGACCCTTTGTTTCATGGGCCGGCACTCAGTCCACTAAGCCACATCAGCCAGGGCATAAATATATATATATTTTATTTTTTTAACAGGGTAACTTTTTTTTTAAGATTTTATTTATTTATTTTTAGAGAGGGAAGGAAGGGAGGGAGAGAGAGAGAGAGAGAAAGAGAGAGAAACATCAATGTGCGGTTGCTGGAGGTTATGGCCTGCAACCCAGGAATGTACCCTGGCTGGGAATCGAACCTGGGACACTTTGGTTCCCAGCCCACGCTCAATCCACTGAGCTACGCCAGCCAGGGCAGCATAAATATATTTTTAATGGAATTTATTTGGTGATATTTGGTTAATAAAATTATATAGGTTTGAAGTATACAATTTTATAATGCATCCTCTGAATATTGTATTGTGTGTTCACCACCCCAAGTAAGAGAGTACTTCTTATGTGCAGGTAACAGTTTATTTCTTCTTGTTGCCAGTTGGTCACCTGTTGTACTTTCTTTGTGAAAGGTCATCTTTCTCCACACTTAAAAAGTATCCATCTTTTCTGTAAGTAAATTATGCTTTTAAAAGTTTACTTTAAAATGATACCCTATTAAAGGCATTTTTCGGCAATAAGTCCAGAGCTCTAACTGCATTTAAATGTATACCACCTTCAGATTCCATAGAGGCTCAAAGCCTCCATTGAACGAGAAGATGCCTCCAGTGTATGGAAGATCTGCACATCTGTTTCCCATGGTTATACTAATTCACACTAGGGATATTGGGAGCTTGAGGCTGGTGGCTATTGATCACTGGTCTTCTCCATGCTGTGTCGGATCCCATATCCAAAGTATATGGCAAAGCCTGGTATGGAAATGAGACAATGAGAAGGGAAAGCAGGCACACTCCCCACCTATTATGGCTTCTGAGACAGTTTTTGGGGAAAGGTCATAGAAAGAAGGCTGAGTTTGGGCACCCAAGAGGCCTCTTTTCCCCAGAAAGCCACTTACCAATCACCATCCAAATGCCAAACTGGGCCCAGGTCGTAGGGGTCATCTGCATCATCAAGTAAATATTCACAAAGATGCTGAGCAGTGGGAGAACAGGCAAAGCAGGAACCTACAGGCAAAGTCAGTATATCCATGAACAAACTACAGATGCTGGAAGGGAGACCCTCTGCCCCACTGGGTAGGAAGGAAGGCTCTGGTCCTATCTGGGGTGTGCATTCAGAGCCTACTCATACAGGGGTATCCCGATGGATGTTCCCGAGTAGAGTGTGGCTCGGGATGGCCCATTGGTTTTAGTGACTCCCCTTGTCTTCCCTGGTCCATCAAAGTATGCAGAGTTCATTCTCTCAAGGTAGACAGTTTTGGGGCATAGTCACCTACCTTGAAGTGAAGAGGAGTTGGGTTCTGGGGCTGTCTCCAAATTATGAAGGTGATCCCCAGAATGAGTAGCAGCAGCAGCCCCGTCACTGTTGTGAACCCTGGGTCTCCAGCCACCAGACGGCTGGGCCACTGGGCCAGTATCAGGCACAGGATGGTCAGCAGGAGAGCTGCGAGGGTCAGGTTGGAGGAGAACAGATGCAACTCCAGAAGCTGAATATGTCAGGACCTTGGCTCACATCCCACCCCCACACTGCACACGACAAAAAGAGCCATTGTATCTCTAAGATTCCAAAGGCACACCCTCCCACCTCACCCTGTCAACTTCAGAACACCACCAAAGAGACAACCGACTGCTCACCCAGCAGCAAGGCACATCCATAGACCACCTGGCCAGATTTCCGAGTGGGGCTGGTGTTCACAGTGATACACAGACTTTTGAGAGTCTTTGAGGTTCCTGCTTCCAGTACAGATTCAAAAGAACTTGTTTCAAATTCAGGCTTTGTCTCCATGATTTCCAACTTCATTTTCTTGTCTGGCTGGTACCTGAAGTAGAAGTGTGAATGCAATATTCATATCAGCATCTACCCATCCAACTTCGGACAGCCTAATCCTCCTCTTCCCCACCCTGAGTGTGACAGTTCACTTAGGGGACAGCATGAAAGCAGGAAAGGATTCTCCCCATCCCATCAATACCTATCCATTCAAGACCCTCCTTCTTCAGGAGGTAGCAGAGCCCTGGCCAGGTAGCTCAATTGGTTAGAGCATCGTCCCAATACACCAAGGTTGCAGGTTACATCCTCAGGGCACAAAAAAGAATCAACCAATGGTCCTAAATGGTGTGGCTCGGTTGGTTGGGTGTTGTCCCACAAAGCAAAAGTTCTCTGGTTTGACACCTGGTCAGGGTACATGTCTGGCTTGTGGGTTCAGTCGTGTTTGGGGGGCATGTGAGAGGCAACTGATCAATGTTTCTTTCTCACATCAATGTTTCTCTCCCTCTCTTCCTCCCTCCCTCCCTTCCCCTCTCTAAAAATAAAATTTAAAAATAAAATCTTTTTAAAAAAAGAATCAACCAGTGAATGCATACATAAGTGGAACAACAAAATTGTTGTCTCTCTCTCTCTTTCTCAAATCATCTTTTTATAAAGAGGGAGGGGAGTCTCACCTGAGGACAAGCACAGAGAAGGCCACCAGGGAGTACGCAAGCAGAGTCCCAATCGACATGAGGTCCACAAGGTCACTGAGCTCGAAGAGGAAGGCCATGAGTGCTACAAGGAGGGCGCAGACGAAGTGAGGGGAGAGGGATGAGAACCCAGTGCATACAGCCGTGCTGAGGAAACTGATCAACAATGGGACGGGTTCTCTTTATTCACCTGCAAGAGTTCCAGAAACGATGGTGGCGATGATGGGGGTGTGGGTGCGGGGGTGAATCCGGGCAAGTCCCCGGAAAAGGAGCCCATCCTCTGCCATTGCAAAGATCACGCGAGGCATGGGGAACATGGAACCCAGGAGGCTGGAGGAGAAATGGAAATGTGTGTGAGGATACAAAGAGCAGGACAGACTGGGGCTTCTGCTCCCTGGCCTGCACTGAGCAAGCTGTCTCTCCCTCTCATCTCTCCATCCAAGGCTGGACCACCTGAGAACTGGAGAAAATGGGAGAGAAACTTACTTTGGTGTCCAATCCATGGCCCGCATGCAACCCAAGATGGCTTTGAATATAGCCCAACACAAAATCATAAATTTACTTAAAACCTTTTTTTTTTTTTGCTCATCAGTCTTTGTTAGTATTTGTGTATTAAATGTGTGGCCCAAGACAACTCCTCTTCTTCCGGTGTGGCCCAGAGATGCCAGAAGGTTGGACACCCTTTAGACACTGACCTGGATGAAAGAGCGCTGAGAGTCCCGGCTGCCACAACATATCTGGCAGGTGCCCATCCAACGTAGAGAAAAGCCTGCGGCAAGGGGCTGTCAGAATGAATCTGGTAGTAGGGCACCATGAGAGTGAGCGCCGCAGAGACCCCAAAGTACGCCAGGAAGCAGATGAAGAGCGAGATCACAGTGCCCAGGGGGATGGAGCGCTGAGGGTTGCGGGCTTCTTCCCCTGTGGGCCGGGTGGAAGGGCTGGCTCAGGGACACAGGCCCAGGTGAAGAGGACACGAGGTGCTCCTTCAAGAGCCGGCCAATGTTCTACCAGCCCTGTGTTCAAGGGCAGCCCAAATGGTGCCTAAACCCAAGCGGGGCAGAATGGCTGTTTTACCTGTGGTGGCGATGCAGTCAAAACCGACAAAGGCATAGAAACACGTGGCTGCTCCTCGGAGGATCCCATCAAAGCCAAAAGGCACAAACCCTCCAGAGCCCAGAGGGCCCAAGCTAGGGGGAGAGAAGGTAAGGGGAAGAACATGGATGAGGAAGCCATCTCTACTGGAGCGCACTCAACACCACAGTCTTGCCCTGGTATCTCGGTTGGTTAGAGCATCATCCCCAAATGTGAAGTTTGTGGGTTCGATCCCAGTCAGGGCATAGAAGAATCAACCAATGAATGCATAAGTAAGTGGAACAATGGCTAGAGCTTTCTCTCTCTCTCTTTCCCCCTCTCTCTCAAATCAATTAAAAGATAAATGAATAAATAACCACAGTCCTGGACTCCATCCCCCCGTCCCCAGCTCTCTGTTCCCAAGCTCTGCACTCCACACACAGGACTGTGCTGAGACTGGCCTCCTGACCTAGAAGTGTCATTTGATCCATTTTTGGCCAATTCGTAGTCCTGTTCCGTGAGCTGCCAGTGGTGCATGTCTCCCTTAATGAAGCCACAGAGGATGACGAAGCTGAGAACCAAAAGGTTCAGGCCCGTGAACACCTTGGTAACCAGGGCTGACTCCCTAGCTCCCAGAACCAGTAGACCTGTGGGGAAGATGGGAGAGGAAACATACAAAATCAATGAATCCAGCCCTGGCTGGGTAGCTCAGTTGGTTAGAGTATCCTCCCGATATGCCAAGGCTGAGGGTTTGATCCCCGGTCAGAGCACATACAAAAATCAACCAATGGGTGCATCAGTAAATGGAACAACAAATCCATGGTTTGCTCTCTCTCCCTCTCTCAGAAAAATCACTGAATCCATAGATAGAAAGCAGACTAGTTGTTTCCAGTGACTGGGGGGTAAAGGGGAGAGGGACACTTAATGGTTATAGGGTCTCTTTTTGAGGTGATAAAAATGTTTCAGAACTAGATGAAGGGGATGGTTGCATAACATTGTGAAGGTACTAAGGGACACTGAATTGTGCACTTTAAATTGATTGATTCTGTCCCTGGTGGTGTGGCTCAGTGGATTGAGCACCAGCCTGCGAACCAAACAGTTACCAGTTCAATTCCCAGTCAGGGCACATGCCTGGGTCGCTGGCCAGATCACGTCCCCAGTAGGTGACAAGCAAGAGGCAACCACACATGGATGTTTCTCTCTCTCATTCTCCCTTCCTTCACCTCTAAAATAAATAATCTTTAAAAAAATAAAAATAAAATAAATTGATTTATTCTTCCTGGCCAGGTATATCAGTTGGTTAGAGCATTGTCCCAGTACACTATGGTTGTGGGGTGTGATCCCTGGTTAGGGCACATATAAGAAACAACCAATGGATGTGTCAATAAGTAGAACAACAATTGATGTTTCTGTCTCTCTCTCTCCCTCCCTCTCTCCCCCTTCCTCTTTCTCTAAAGTCAATAAGTAAAAATAAATAAATAAAAATTAAAATAAAATGATTGATTTCCTATTGTGGTAACCATCTCCCAGTGTACACAAATATCATATCACCCACTTAAACTTGCATGATGTTACATATCTATTATATCTCAGTAAAGCTGGGGATAATAATAAAATAAAATGGCTACTCTTACATTATGTAAATTGTACCTCAATTTTTTTTAAACAAAATAATTTTTTCAAACTTTGGTCTCAGTACAGAGGAAGCAACTTTGTCTAAATTAATAGGTCTCAGCTGGAGGTGACTCTGTTGCCCAAGGGACATTTGGGGGTGGGTGCCACAAGCATCTAGTGACTAAGTCATGGGAGAATCACTCAATGTCCTACAATAATTGCCCCACAGAAAAGAATGATTCAGCTCAAAATATCAGGAGTTCCAAGTGTGAGAAACAACGGTCTATGTCTTGCCTTCCTGTCTCTCCCACCAACCACAAACTCTTTCTAATCTCTAATCTCCCCACCCCTTCGCCACCTCTAAGCCTTTCCCCTCCCGGCTCCCCCACCATGCCCCACTCTCCCCATCCAGCCTCGGACCCCTGCCTCACCAGTGAGCAGCAGCACCAGGCCCAGCGAGAAAAAGTCTAGGTACTTGGCCAGGTGGGGCACCTGTGGAGAGAAGCTTCCCTGCAGCACCTGAGAGATGCGGTTCCCGGTCAGGCTGTCCACGGCGGAGCTCCAGGCCCTGGCCACACTGGCACTGCCTGCAGGACACAAGACCTTCATTTGCAAACAGTCTGCACCCCTGCTCGGCACCATGGGATATATTTTTGGGAAAAAACGAAAGAACATATAAAATACCTAATCTCAAAGAGTTTCTTTTCATGGGACAAAGAGAGCAGACACAGATATTTCATAAAACAAGTAGACCATTTCATGTGTTAGAAGGAGAGTAATATTATACAAGAAAAGAGGGGCCCAGGCTGGTGTGGCTCAGTGGATTGAGTGCTGGCCTGTGAATCAAAGCGTTGCTGGTTCAATTCCCAGACAGGACCTGTGCTTGGGTTGCAGGCCAGGTCCCCAGTAGGGGGCATAGGAGAGGCAACCACACATTGATATTTCTCTCCCTCTCTTTCTCCTTCCCTTCCCCTCTCTCTAAAAATAAATAAATTGGCCCTGGATGGTATAGCTCAGTGGACTGAGCTCAGGCCTTTGAACCAAAGTATCGCTGGTTTGGTCCCCAGTCAGGGCAGTCAGGGCACATACCTGGGTTGCAAGCGATATCCCCAGTATGGAGTGTGCTAGAGACAACCACATGTTGATGTTTCACTCCCTCTCTTTCTCCCTCCCTTCCCCATCTCTCTAAAATAAATAAATAAAATCTTTAAAAAAAAACAATTAAAAAATAAATCGATAAAAATAAATAAATAAATAAAATCTTAGAAAAAAGAAAAGAGGGAAGTGGGTGGTCAGGGGACAATTTCATGAAGCCAACAGCTGAACAAAGAAGTTACTATGTTGAGGGAAGAAGCCTTAAGGACCATGTGTCTCCCCCACAGGAATTCTTCCCCAGTTCCTACAGTTCCTATTTCTTCCTGGTTCTTGGTTCAGTCATTAAAGGAAAGCAGGATAGAGTTAAGTACAGGATAGAGTTAAGAGTAGAGTAGCAAGATATAATTAAGAGTGAAGTTTGGGGGTTTTCCTGACACTGTCACCCACTTCCCCTCATAAGGCAGATAACAAAGTGTTCGTGAATGAGGATGGAGACCCCACTCCCTGCTCCTATTTTCCTGATCTAAGTCGCTTGTTTCCCTCACATGGCCACGTCCACTCACCAATGACATAGGAGAGGATAAGGGTCCACCCAGTCGTGAAGGCGCACAGCTGTCCCACCGTGACGTAGCTGTAGAGATACGCAGAACCGGAGCATGGTACCCGGGCCCCAAACTCCGCGTAGCAGAGCCCAGACAACATGGAAGTCAGGGCAGCCACCAAGAAGCAGAGGATAATCGCTGGTCCAGCTTTGTCCTTGGCCACTTCACCAGCCAGGACGTACACACCCGCCCCCAGAGTACTGCCCACACCAAAGGCCACCAGGTCTAGGGTGCTCAGACAACGGGTCAGGCGGCTGTCAGTCCCCTCCCTTGGCTCCAGAGGCAGCCTGCGAACTAGCTTCTGACCAAACTGGCGAACACGTTGACACAGCATCGTAGATGGAGTTGAGGAGGAGGCTTAGCTCTGCGGAGAAAACAACACAGAAAGCCATCAAGAACATCCAGCTTCCTCTTCCTGCAAACAGCCAGGGGTGGCCTCTGAAAATGGCTTGCTGTTCACTTGACTCAGAAACCCCCAAGAAATCATGGAAATCATGAAGTTCAGATCCTCATGTTCACTTTAAGAACACTCATGAAACTGCCCAGGCCATCAAAGGTGTGCATGTACAAAAAGCCACTGAGGATCTATCTGAAGGCTGTCACTTTGTAGAAGCAGTGTGTGCCATTCCATTGTTACAACAGTGGGGTTGGTAGGTGTGCCCAGGCCAAACAGTGGGGCTGGACACAGGTTCAGTGGCCCAAAAAGAATGTTGAGTTTTCTGCATGTGCTTAAAACTGCAGAAAGTGATGCTGAACTTGAGTTTAGATGTAGACTCTTGTTGCTGAGCACGTCCAGGCAAACTAAGCTCCCAAGGTGCAGAACGTACAGAGCTCACAGGTAGACGGACCCACACGTGAGCTCTCCCTGCCACACTGAGATGACCCTTCCTGAAAAAGAGCTGACTGTTCCTAAACCAACCAGAAGAGGAAATTGCACAGAAGAAAAGGATATCGCAGAAGAAACTGAAGAAACAAAAACTTATGGACTGGCCCTGGCTGGTGTGACTCAGTGGATTGAATGCCAGCCTGCAAAGTGAAGGGTCGCCTGGGTTGTGGGCCAGGTCCCCAGTTGGGGGCATGTGAAAGGCAACCAATTAATGGTGTTTCTCTTCCTCCCTTTCTCCCTCTCTTCCCCTCTCTCTAAAAATAAATAAATAAAATCTTTAAAAAACACACAAACAAACTTATGGCCCAGGAGTAAATTCAGCACAAAATAAATACTATTACAAGTAAAATTTAAAAAGTGTCCATCCATCCTTGGCCCCAGGATGGATGGGGGCAATAGAAGACCAATTCCACAGAGCAATGGTAAAAAGACACATTGGGTAAGTCATCCATGTCTGAGCCTTGTTTTCTTTAAATGTAAAGAAGACTATTAGGATGTGTCACTACTACTAAAAGGGTTGGTTGAAGAGAGAATCAAGCAAAAGCTTCTGATAAGACCAACAGCAGATGAACAGAGTGGATAAGAGGACTGATTTTTGAGGCCACACCACTCAGCTTCAAATCCAGCTCTGCCACTGAACAGCTGTCTGATTCTGCATGAGCTACAGACCGTGTGTGCCCTGTCCTCCCTCAGTAAAATAGAGGAAAATATTATCATCATTATTTCCTCCCGTCCTTGGTAAGTGACTTTTGGGCTTGGCAATAAGAACTCCCAAGCACCACATTTCTCTGCCGAGGGTCCTGAAACATGATTGCTTCCCAGGTTATCCTGTTTGTTTTTTAAGTGAAATGGGGATGTGGAATTTGGAGCTGGAGGGAAGAGATGGGATTTGTAGGGACGGAGAGGTTCTAGCCCACCCAGCTCAGGAGAAACATTGACCCAGTGTGGCCTCCCAATGGCCTCAGGGCCTGTAGGACTCTTCTTCACCCCAAATCAGAAGTGACAGGATGCTATCTGCTACTTCTTTGAGGCCCGGTATGTCTCCTCATTACACCTCTCTTGGGGCATGGATGGGGGGGGGGGTGGGGGGGGTGGGGGGTGGTTGGCAGGTGGGGAAGCCTTTAAAAGGAAGGAAATCTGGTCACATGCTACAGCATTGATGAACCCTGAGGACATTTATGCTCAGTAAAATAAACTGATCACAAAAAGACAATACTGTATGATCCCACTTCTGTGAATTAATTATGTAGAGTAGTCAAATTTACAGAAACAGGGCTAGGAGAAAAAGAAAAAAGGATTAAGAAGTACAAAGTGGTAGTTACAGAACAGTCAGGGGGATGCAAAGTACAGTGTAGGGAATACAGTCAAGGGCATAAGGGGGGTAAATGGTGATAAAAAAATAAAATTAAAAAAAGAATATTTGGCCAGTAATATTGTAAAAACTATATGTGTGTGCTGCCAGATAGGTACCATATTTATCACTTTATAAGGTACATATAAAAAAGGTGTAAAAGGTATTAGTTTCAGGCTGTACACCTGAAACTAATGTAAATTGAATGTCAACTGTAATTGAAAAAAATTTTAAAACAAAGCAAAAAAAAAAAAAAAGTAAAATGGTGGTTCCAGGGGCTGGGGAGTGGAAACAGAGTTACTGTTTAATGGCAAGGACAGGATTTCTGTTTTATAAGGTGAGTAAGAGTTCTGGAGACTGGTTGCACAGCGGTGTGAATATACTTACCACTACTGAACTGTACACTTAAAAATAGTTAAGATGCTGTCCTGGCTTCAGTGGATTGAGTGGCAGCCTGTGAACGGAAAGGTTGCAGGTTCAATTCCCCATCAGGGCACATGCCTGGGTGGTGGGCCAGGTCCCACTCTGGGACGTGTGAGAGGCAACCAACTGCTGTTTCTCTCACAGGTCGACATCTCTCTCCTCTTTCTCCCTCCTCTTTAAAAATAAATAAAATCTTTTTTTTAAGTAGTGAAGGTGGTTAATTTTACATTATGTGTATTCTACAACAATTTTTTAAGTGTTACCAATAATAATAGCGTTGACGGTTAAGACAGTAAATTTTATGTCTGCCACAATTTTTGTTAAAGGTTGTGCTGATGGTAATAATAGAGCCAGCTTCATGGAATTGTTCAGTGTAATAAATCAGCGTATACAACAGCCTGATATCTGTGGTGCACCCACCCTAAACCCCGAATAGCTTTTAACCTTTAATATTGTTTGCACATGAAATAAAACAACCAGCCTCCTCACCCTGGCGGGGTAGCTCAGCTGGTTAGAGCATGGAGGCAATACTTCAAGGTTCGGGTTGGATCCCAGGTCAGGGTTCACATACAAGAAACAACCAATGAATGCACCAATAAGTGGAACAACAGATCAATGTTTCTCTCTCTGTCTCTCAAATCAATACATTTTTTAAGAAGAAAACAACAACCAGCCTCAGAGCCTACGCGCACTCAACCCATCTCCCCCACCAGCTCCCACCCCTTCTCCGCTCACAGCTGTTTCTCTTGTCTGGAAAATGGGTCTTTTCTGCCCTTCAGATGGAGCCAGGCTGAGCAACTAAGTGAATGCTGCGATTGCCGAGGTCTGCAGGAATATCAGAACACACGCGCCCTGTCTGGGACAGAAGAGGGGTTACCCCGACTTACCGGACCGCGGGAGCAGATCCCAGATCACTGGGTCGGAGTCAGGGAGTTTGAGCTAAGCCAGGTCGGCTTGAGCTGATAATATCTTTAAAGCTGGAGCTGGAAACACTTAAAAGAACAGCTAGTTCTCCCCGCTGGGTAGGCGGGGTGGGGCCAAGGGCCTCTGCTGTGATGCAATCAGACGTGGAAGCTTCTCTGTCTCAGCTCTAAGATTTTTTTTTTAATGGTGGTAAAATACACATGACATAAAATTCTCCATCTGAGCCATTTTAAAGTGTTGTGTTTGGAACTGTTATGTGTATGCACACTGCTGCGCCCTCACACTCTAGAATTCTCATCTTGCAAAACTGATACTCTGTTCCCACCCACCCTCACCCCCACCCCCGTTTAACCCTCACTGCCCTCCACACTTTGGCCCCTGCCATCTACTTTCTGTCTCTAAGGGCCTGACTGCTCTAGATACTTCACAGAAATGGAGGCATACAGTATTTGTCCTTTTGGGGTAAGGCTTCTATCACTTGAGTAAATGTCCTCACATCTCCTTCATGCTGTGGCCTGTGTGAGAATCTCCTTCCTTTTCAAGGCTGAATAAGATTCCTTTGTATGGAATCTTATGTTTATCCATCCCCCCATCAAAGGATCCTTGGGTGGCTTCCACTTTCTGACTTGTGAATAATGCCGCTATGAACATGGGTGCACTTCTACCTCCCTGAGGCCCTGCTTTGAATTCTTTGGGATATATACCCAGAATTGCTGGGTAATATGATTCTATGATTTTTCTTAAATGCATGAATCCATTTCATCAAGGATCCCAGAAGTAGGGAGTCTATAACCTGGGACCCCGCTCACAACCCTACTCGGTCCATCTTCCACTTGTCAGGGATGGGGACACTTTACCCCTTTCCCTCTTAGTTCTTCTGGTTGGCTGAATAATTACAATGACAGCAAGCTCAGCCCCCACCAGGTACCTCAGTTGGTTAGAGCGTCATCCTGATACGTCAAGGTTTCAGGTTCAATCTTGATCCCGGGTCAGGGTACAAACAAGAATCAACCAATGCATGCAGAATTAAGTGGAACAACAAACCAATCTCTCTCTCTACACCCCCTTTTCTGTCTAAAATCCAATGAAAAAATAAGTAGTAAAATGACACAAGACAGATTAACAGGAGAAAATCAAGTTTTAATATGTGTACACGGGGAATTCACATAAGCATGAAAATTCCAAAAGCAGGAAGGCAAGGTAAGGTATATATGTCATTCTGGACCAAGAACGGGGAGGCAGGGATCTAGGTTTTCAAAGGGAGGTGAGACCATTTAAAGGGGATGAAAAGAATTCATGTTTAGTGAAATGTTTGCTGGGTCACCTTGAAACGATGGGACAAAGAGAGGACTCTGACCAAGGGCCTTGCCAAGTTCCTTCCTATCATGCACTCATTTATAATAAACTGCTGTATCTGTGGTGATCTCTCCCTTCCTGGAACAGGTCCTCTATCTTAAATTCTTGTACGCAGTAAGTGGGAAAGGCCAAAGGTTCATCCTGAGCCTTCTGGGTCTTCAAGATTTTCAGCTCAAAATATTCTGCATACCACAGGAGCATGGCTGAGGGTGACTCATTCAGAGTGGCCACATACTTCGAAGCTTCCCACAGGGAGTGCAAGGCCTGAGGCAGCTTACTTGAAAAGGACAGACAGACCAAATGGGACATGATCAAGTAACCCACGTGCAGAAACACGGGGTGCCAGTGACCCAAACTGGATTAAACCTTTATTTATTTTTTTTAAGATTTTACT